TATTTAGGTTTTAGCCGTAGCTTAAACCACATTTGAGATTTCCCCTTTCAATGTTCACTGAGCAACCCTGCACCCTGGTGCATGACTGCGGTAGTTGTCTAGGCGTTGTTGTAACAACCCTGGGGGGACTCCCTTATCTTTTGGCCTAAGTTCGGTTCTAAGACAGACTCATCATTCTATCAGCAGTCTGGCTGGCTGCTTCAAAAGGAAACTGAAAATGAAGATTTAATGCTTGATTTAGTTTTCTGGGTGAGAACACTAATTGCTCTGTCGGCAGACCGCAGAAAAAATGTAGATAATTTGTTTATTACTACAAGGGGTTCGGCGAAATGCGCATCACGTTCGGTCATTGCAGGGTGGATAAGAACCCTCTTCAAAGAGGCAGGAATTTCTGCGTCCGCGGGAAGCTTTAGGGCTGCAGTAGCAACGGACCTCTGGATCACAAATAGCAGTAATATAGATGAAGTGCTGCAAAGAGGAAACTGGAGATCTAAGAATACATTTTTCAACCATTATTTTAAAGAAATAGCTAAGGCTAACCCGTGCAGTAAAAACAAGTTGGCCAAGTCTTTCACGCCGTTATTGTAAACCTAATTTAAGGTAACACATTTCATTAAAAGGGAGTATTGTAAAAATTAAATATATACAAAGAACTTGGTTTCATTCATAGTCACAGTACGCTGCGGTCCGCGCAGTCGGCAGATAATAAACACATCTCAAATGTGGTTTAAGCGAAGGCTCAAACACCTAAATAGAACCGTTTTTCCCCCGAAGGGTAAAAAACGGATATTTAGGTTTTAGCCGTAGCTTAAACCACACACTTTCATTGCCTTGCCGACTGGGTCAATTCAAGGTACTGATATAAGAAGGTCACTTGCCGCCCACGCTGCCCGTCCTGTCAAACAAAGACAAACACAGGGTTGTTACAACAACGCCTAGACAACTACCGCAGTCATGCACCAGGGTGCAGGGTTGCTCAGTGAACATTGAAAGGGGTAATCTCAAATGTGGTTTAAGCTACGGCTAAAACCTAAATATCCGTTTTTTACCCTTCGGGGGAAAAACGGTTCTATTAACAGTGCAATAGCAGAGAACGTTTATAAATGAGAGGGCGCATTTTCTGTGTGAACTAATTGGTGCCAGAAATTTTGGGGTGCAGTCGGCCAAATATACCACTCGTCGACAAAGTGCACCACTCGACCGACGGTGTCGGCAGAGAAGTGTCGGCTGCCACCATACCAAAAATTTTTCCGTGCCACCACACTTCGAGCAAATTTACTATAATTCAAAGCAAAATGAAAAAATAAGAACGAAAAAGGAAAGAGGAACAGAAATATAATAAGCACTAGGCAGAGGGGATGCTTGCGGAGGCAGGCGCGTGCTTGTATCGGATCAAAACAAACTCTAAAATAAAAATGGAAGTCAGAACGACAAGTGTACAGAAGAAGCGGGGAAACGGGGAAAGGAGCGGGTTTTTGTACATTTGCTTGCTTGCCGAAAATATATTTGCATGAAATCGATTTGCTGATTGTTGCAAATTGATTTTTGCAAACATGTATGAATTTTTCTATTTCAGCTAAGTTGATAAGATTTTCTATGGCATTTTTTTGACTTTTTTCCGCAATTGTCTAAAGTCATGTAAAATGGACCTTTTTATAAAAACTATTTTATTATAATTTATTTAAACATATGTATGTATGTATATATTTACATTTATTATTTATTTATTTNTAAGTGCTGTGGCATAGTTGGTTGATGCGTGGCGATAAACGATACTTTGCTGCAATTGTTGTCAGGGTTCATATCCTACCCGAGGCGGTTATTTTTTATGAATTTATTTCTAAAATAAAATAAAGAATAATTTCGCGGTTGAAATGAATTTTTTGCGTTTCAATCGCCATCGAAGTTATTGAAGAAGAAGAAGAGAACTCGTAGACAAGAAGGGGGAAACGAAAGCGAAGTGATTTTGCGCACATGTCGGCGCAGATGCATGATTTCGGTAACAAGTGGAAAAAATATTTTATTTTGATCCCAGAAGTGTGCAAAGGGAAGGGGGATTTTGACCGCTGTTGCCACTTTTCCAATCGGCGCGGTGGTTGACAAGGCGCATCAATTACAGGTGATAGCGATAGAAGCTATGCTTCTTCTTATGAGCACGCTTGTGTCAAATTATCGTCCGTTTTGCTTTATTTACTTATCCACGTATACATACATATATACGTATATATATACCCTGCAAACAAATTCTCCCGAAATCTTTAAGAGTGTCGGAAATCTGTAACGATTCTTTTAGAAATCTGTAAAGAAAAACATATGAAGCAGTTGACAAGAACTGTACCATTTCTTAAAGAATATTCTTAAAAAAATTGTGAAACCTTTCAGAATTCTATGAAATCCTGGTATNCTAAACTACTATATATTATTAAGTAGTGATCAATTACTTTTAATTTATTTTTATTTTATTAAAATATAAACGTTTAAAGGGTAGAAAGTTAGAAATAATTTACTGTTAATATGCATAATTCGCTAGTGTTCCAAAATTCGCTCGTCGTGCGTTCACTATTGATCATTGGATTTAAATAATTGTTTCTCAAGCATTCAGTGTTATAGTTTGATCGGAAATTATATATTCTTAAGTAATTGATCACATTTTATTAAAATATAAACGTTTAATAGGGTAGAAATTGCGAAATTATTTAGCTTTAGCATGTATGCATCGGCCAGAGACAATTGCAGAAAACTGCAACAACTCGTGAAAACTTATAATAAAAGCAATGTAGACGAAAGTACTAGATATTATATTAAAACTAGATCCATATATAAAACATTTTACATCATTTATTTGAAGTNAAATCATGGGTGGTTGATAAAATTTTAGATTTTGTCATCGCCGCGACGAAAATCAACTTGTGGACGGCTCATGTTTGTAGCGGGGTAAGTGTGCAACGTGCGCACGAATTTCTGAATGGCAGTTTTTACGTTTATGAATGAATGTCTTGCTCGTGAGAAGCGGGAGTTCGGGGAATAGTAAGCGCAGTGGCTGTATGTTTTCTTTTGTAGTATTTGTATGTATGTTCATACATTAGTACATATTTGGTTTTTGATGTTCATAGCTTGATTAGAGTGATTAGAAGCGATTGCATTTTTGTTTGCATGAACACTAATCAATTATGTACGTGTATGCATATGTACATACATATATGTATTTATGTATGNCCTTTTTCTCATTAAACCTTGTTCGAATCGTGGAAATTTTGGAAGGTCACAGGGTTGCTTTTAGCATTTNATACATATACACATTTATATCTATGTATTATTCACAAGTAAATATTAATTTAAACATATGATCATAACCATTTAATTTAATATTTCTTCAATGTTGATAGATAATATTCAATTTCTTGATTAAACATCAAAATATTCATCAATTAATAAAATTTGGCAAAACGATGGTGGTTTTCTGCACACACAATTACACGAAATTTGAGCGTCGCAAGCTTGCGCATGAAATTGAACGACATCGTAAAATACTGCTTAAGCGCTCGGATTTCAATGTGTTATGTGGCGGATGCGCTAGAGGCGC